ATCGCGATCTCACAGGAAAAGATAAATATCTTATGTTGTATGATCGAGAAAGAGGCAGTATTAGAGGCATTCATAGATCTGACTTTGACAGATATACCTGGATGATATAATGCAATCATTCTTAACCCTCCGTAGTCTAATTTTATTTACTGTTTTAGGCTTTTAAAGAATCTGAAAAAATTCTAGGATACTTATCAAAGTCTCTACTATACATACTTAAAAATTTTATGTTTTAAACTGAATAAAAGTGGAAATTTGGTAGTAAGTTCAGAAAGAATGGGAATTCGCTGGGACTGTCAACGACCCACAATACTCGTGGAGGGTTAATAATATAATCTCTTTTCGGTGTTTATGAAATTCGATAAAATGAAATATTTCTCGATCTCTATTATCTATTTATCGAAGCTAATCACTTGTACCTCTGACAAGATTGAGTTTCAATCAATATTAGTAACACTTTTCACTCACAATTCAACTAACTTTATTTTCTTTATATTCACTGAATATTTAAATAAATATTTCTGATAACTAGACTGCAAATATTTACGCAAATATACAATTGAAAACTAGAATCAGAGAAACATTCGTGCACTTCGTTAAGAGTTCCTTTTGCTCTCGATTGTCACCTCTGAAGGAAGAAAATTCATGGAGAATTAGGATATTCCGAGTGCAATGGGTTAAGTATTTTCCAGTAGCAATTTTCATAGAATCGCGTATGCTACATTCTGCATAAAATACGCAGTCTAGAGATAACGTTTTAAGAGTAAAAGACCAATGGAATGACTTACAGATGATAAGCAGTATCGACGGATGCTCCTCGCCGCCCTCGTACTTGCCACTGAGGAAGAGAAACCACTGCCACGGATCCACCCTTATCCCGTATCTACGACAGAACAGAAGGAAAAAAGAGGCGTGTAAACACTTGGAAAGAAAAGGAACACTCCATCCGTTATTATCGCTCCCCCCCTATCCCAGCGGCTCTATCGGCGAAGTCACGTTAAGCGAACGGCCTACTACATTGCAACACGGCTCGAAGGGCAAAGGCGTCGTTATTAACGTCTGTCTTCGATGCGATACTTTTCAGCCGAGGGCCTAGAAAAAGGACCGAGAAGAAAGAAACGAGGGGGAAACCAAATAAAAAGTCACGGACCCTTTGATCCCTTTGTACTTTGGAGCAAATAATAAACGTCGCGAATCGCTGTACCCTTCTGATGTGTGTACGAAACGGTGCAGACGAATTCCGTACACGCGATCATTATACAGTTACTTTCCAGATAAATCAATAAACAATATTGTCCGCTATCTATAGAATGATTAGCAAATCTCTTCACGAGAACAACACTTTAATTTAGAAACTCTAACGACCGATTAGTTCATAAGTATCATGTATAATACCTCTTAATTCCCGTTACCTATAAAATATAATTAACTTTGTGACTTTTAATAAATATTTATGTGCAATGGTTGATTTTACAATTATTATTAAACTAAGTATGTATAGATATTTATTTTTGTACTTGGATTTGCGAACAGGCTGTGAGCTTCCTTTCTCACTAATTACACATGCAGTATATTGTCACTTTTGATGATAAATCATAGAATGACCATTTAAACGCATCCACCCCTGCGTATGACCTTGGTCGAATGAGAAACCTTCCATATTAAATACAGTAATCTGCTTCGATCTTATAATATTGCTGTTAAATTTAAACTGAGCCCAGCAGAATATCGTATATAGATATAATTGTGTCGAAATTGTTCCAAAATTTCCTACAGAATTCAGTAACAGAACCGGTAACGCTATTAACCACTATGACTGCCAACGTCTAGATCACTATGCAAGTAAATTTGTTTAAATAAATCCAGGCACCATCGACAGAAATTATGCAATACATCACAGATATAATTTCGAATATTCTTGATCGAACACTTTCATCACACACTGTATCTACACCGTAGTACAACACTATACCACACACACTATACCGTAGACACATCACCGTTTTCAGCAGTCCTTCCGCCTAGAGAGGAACACATCGACAACGCGTCGTCCTCTAGCTGCCGACAGATTTTTATGGGTCTATATCGGCGAATTTATCGTGTACCATCGTATCAATCCGAGCCATCAGAGACGTTTGTTGCACACGACCGCCGTCCCACCGAAGTCAAACGAACTACATCGATGTGGAACGAAAGAAAAAAGAAAAAAGGGAGAGAGAACAAGCCGGGTAACCGACACTAATGGCTTCGGGTCGAACGTGTCGACTAACGATGATAAACGAGGCTTATAGGTGAAGTAATTAAAGTATTTGAAGAGGGCGCGGTTCGACACGATGGAAGGATATTTATTGGAACGCGGTCGTCGGCTCGTTTCATCGTTTTCTAGCCACACCCCACCCACCGTCTGTCCATCTCACTCGTTTTTTTTTTTCTCCCGTCGCGTCGGAACAAACGCAATCAGTCACGTTGACGCAGTCCACGATAATTGAAGAGCAAACCGGAAAAATCAAACGTTTATAATTGATAGCTACCTACTGGGCACTCTCCATGCGGTGGCGAGCCCAAAAAGTGATTCGAAAGGAAACATCAATCCCCCTTGTATTAACGACCGGCTAAAATCGCCATTCGTCCCACGCCGCTCTGACTTGTGTATAACTTTTCTACCGGTTCTGCCGATTGAATTGTTAAATACTTTGAAAATCGATGCGCGAAAACGGAACCCCTCGGCCAGGGATCCGCCGTTAATGCGCGGGCTTAATGCTCGCCTTCGTCGAAGCAGAGCGGATTGACCGAATCGGGGAAGACTTTAATGCGCGTGAAATCTGGCTAATATTTCGAGATGAAAATACATACACATATAAGGGCGACGAAACACTGGGTTTATATTGCAATAAAACATTTCTTGAATCGTGCATCGAATATCGTGGGGACAATAATACATGTTTAAAAATGTGACTTTTCTCTGTGAGGTCGTAATATAAAATATTTGCTGCGAAATAGTTTTCTTGAACATATTAATGGTTTGTGTGTTGACTTCCATGAGATCATTATGTATTTCAGTAATGAGATTGTTATTAAATTAACTGGCTATACGATCTTAATATCGTGATTTTGAAAAAATACACTAACGGCCAAAAGTATGAGACTAGATAGGTCTGATAATGAAAGAAAGAGAGGAATATTATTCTACGAAAATTTGTTTAGAAATGATTTCAATACAATAGGTACCTACTGATTTCGTAACCTTTATCATATCGTAATAAAATAATGAGATACTGTTCCATCAATCATGAACTATAAGTAGTTCCATACTTTTGGCCGGTATTGTAACTACATGAGAAAAATATAAAATATTATTTTTCGTACAAGTCCTCTTGTCTGAAAGCGATCAATATTAAAGATTTGTCAAGTCTCTTTGATATACATATTTAACTGTAACTTATTAATTCTACATGCAACGAACACTCTCGACAATATTATGTTACCATACATTTCGAATGTTCTCGCATTCTCTCAAATTAATCCCAACAAGAAATATTCAAAATAACACTATCCTAAGTAGAAATACCAAGCAATGATCAGAAACATAACTCAACCACCACTCAACTCCCTAACACCTACGCTAAATTTATTCGAACCATTGATATAAAAAACGAACTATATTCCACGCCGTAAACTAATTTTTCCATCACAGAATCACCTCTCCGCGACACTTATCACCGGTGCTTTCAACATCACGAAAGAGTATGAAATAACGTCCAGGGTCTCTGATTCCATGATACCCGAACGAATCCAATCAAAAACTTTCACAGAGGTTGATCCAGTGCACACCAACTCCGTGAACTCAAGAATAGGTTTGTAAACAAAACTTCCAATCACCTGTATATACTCTGTACTTCAGGGGGTGCGGAGGCAACGGCGGAGTTTCATGCGCGAAAGGTTTATTGGATCCATCAAAAACACAGGCGATTCGTGGCTGTTTATTTCAGATAAGTCTGATAGAGCGGACGAAACGAGGGGTTGGGAGGGTCGGTGGTTGACTTGGGTTATCGGTGGCCATCGAAACTCATCGGTTCAAGGCGTGAGTGGGAACGATATTAAATTTCTTTCCCTCCCGTTCACCCCCGCCTCCGACGAGAATATAACCGCTTTGATCCGGGCCACGCCCGTTAAATCCGCGGCCCGTTCTTCGCCCGGCGAAGTTCGTTAATACACCGTCACGATAAAATCCCCAATTCCATCGTCGACCGAAAAGAAGAACCGAGATGGATAGACGAGGTGGGAACGGGAAAGGGCCGTCGTTCGGGACCAGAACGGAAGGTGGAAGGGGAGGAAGGGGATAGGGCTTGAAAAGTCCAGATTGAAAGAGTTATGACGGCAATATGGAAGGTTCTCCGGTATAAAAATCCGCGGTCGCGAAAGATCGCACCGTTAAATATTAATAAATGACGAGGATCACGTTTATCTCGTTCAGGCAGCTGCTGCCTCGATGCGTCCGCCATTGTTACTCTGATCGTTCGAAACCGAGCTCATGACGACGCCCACGGTGATTCGATAGTTTCAACTCTTTCAGACCTAGTGGTCACATTTGTGTATGTACATGAAGTTTTTTTTACAATTTCACACGAAGTATTGGGCACGAAGTATTGCGGATCCATATTTTTTTTATAAATTTGAATTTTTTCATGTTCCGAAGTTACTCGAGTCTTAATGTACCTACACATGTGTTGAACAATGTTTTTTTTTTTCATCGAAACCAGAATAGAAGAAGAGGCAGGCGTGTTCCGTGTAATCGGAGGGACCGGACGGTTGAAATGCTCGCTCAAAAGCGGAATGATCGGCGACCCGTGATCGACCACGTCCCACAGCGACATCATTAATGCGATTTTAAATCTCGTTTCCCGCGCGCATGGTGTAATCCACTGACCTGGATTTTGTGTCCGCGTACGCGGCCGGATTATCTAATGGAATTTCAAGTTCATAGTGTAATTGCCCCGATCCGATTACCCGGGTAGGTACAAAGGTTTACCCGCGGTGCAATCTGTCAGTCTAAATCACTTTCCGCGGTATCGTTAATCGGATCAAAGTGCTCGCGGAATATGCGCGCAACTCCCCCATCCCTTCCCCACCTCCCGTAAACATCCGACAACAGTATCCTCAATTAAATACAAAAGCATGTCCGCGACGAGTCGTAATATAATCGGACGGTCGGTGGATAATGGAAACGGGCGGGCAGGGTTGTTTTTTTACAGACATCTCCATCAGGGGTTTCGAAATTCGATTTTCTTATAATAACGATATTATAGAGAGATATGTTGTAAAACTACATAATAAATTGAGTACACGTAAAAACACGGAATTGTATAAAGTATGTTTGTAACATCGATGAAGTGAAGGTGGAAATTTTAAAACGAACAATGTAGAACAAAATGTATTAAATACCTGCGTATAGTTGTACTAATAACTAATCAACTATTTTTTCTGAAACAAAGTCTTAACAATATTTTTTATCTATTTCCAAGAAAAAAAATCATTGATAAATCATCGATAAGTGTTCGAAGAGTTCTCAACACTGATTGTGAGTGTTCAGACGTCGTTCCCATCACTGAAGGGCTCCCCTATGGAACCAGTCAAGATCCCAGTAGCGGGGATGACGTTTGAACACTAAGTGCCAAGGTTCCTTTAAAATCGAGATGAAATGCACTGATTGTGAGTGTTTAGACGTCGTTCCCATCACTGAAGGGCTCCCCTATGGAACCAATCAAGATTCCAGTAGCGGGGATGACGTTTGAACACTAAGTGCCAAGGTTCCTTTAAAATCGAGATGAAATGCTACTTCGCTGGTATTAATATTTAACATTTATAGTAGATTTACAGAAACGTCAAGAAAATGGTAAAGTAAGGGGGATGATTTATCAATGATTAATGGAAAAATAACTCAGCATCGACGTTACTCAACAGGCTCAAAGGACTTGGTCACGTGTCCATTCACAGCGGCGCGTCAATACAAAAGGCACGTATGCAAGGCAGCATAGATGTAAGCCCCGACGGAACTATCGCGATGCCGAAAACGTTAATGCCATTTTTCGCGCGGTAATACCGAGCAACGGCGCAATTCCGAGGATTCTCCCCGGGCTATATAGCCGATGTAATCCGGATGAACGCGCGGACGAGTTTTATTTCTCGGCGTGACGTGGAATCCTTTCGCGAAAAATCGCGGACAAAATAGAACGACGTGGACGAACGTGACACGACGGATTCGGACTCGTCTCCCCGCGATTGTTACCCATGGCTCGATATATCGAATCGCTGAAAATTTTCGAAAATCGCATGCCGTTCTAATCGTTCCTACGAATATGAAATGCTCTCTGTTGCGAACGGATCTGAAAACTACCCAGTCGTCGTGACACTTTATCGCGAACCGATACCTTTCAAACAGTTTTTCATCGATATTTGTTCGTAAAACACGCTTCGAGATACTAGAATCCATGAGTTCCAGCGGACGAGCGAAAGAAACTTATCAGACACTTGACAAGGAAAACCAGGAAATTCGGGAAAATCTTTGAAAAACCTTGAAAATCCCCTTGGAAACGAGCGAAACCCGTTACTCGACGATTTAATCCGTAATTTATAAAAGTTTTTAAGCGGATCTGCAAGAAATTCCGCGGCTCCCGGGTTTCAAGTATACTTTAATACTTTCAATTTATCGGCACCCGCAGCAGCAACGTCTTTGATTCTTCGCCACGGTTCCTCGAATCGCGGACCTTCTCTCCGTCGTGGTAAACTCGGCCCATTAAGAATTGCACGAAGCTTCGTACGGTTTCAGTTTAAGTGCATAAATTATGACCAGATCGTGAACCTTTCAAAAAGTTTCCGCGGAACGACGCCGCGAAAAAAAAAGATAAGAACAGGGGATGAAGGGGGTGGGAAAGTTCGATATACCGCCCGAGCCGCGGCCCTCCCACACGTCTCTCTGTCTCCAAACCTTCGCAAAGACTTTTATCGATGGAGGTATATAGAGTCTTTCGCCGAGAGTCCGATTAATTGAGCTCTCTTCCCGACTTTTTTTCACTTCGTTCGGGGGAAAACCATCCTCCTACTTTCTTGCCGGTGTGTCTCTTTCAACCTCTCACCCCCTCCACTCTGCACCGCCCGACGATCCTCCGCGTCGATTAATCTCGATCGTCGTTCGAATCGCGTTGCCTACCTCGTCCTGTTTCCTGAGATTCGTTTCTTCTTGCCTGGCGGGCCGAGTTAACGTTCAGGAACTTACCGATACGACAAGACTCGACGCACCGTGTTCCTCGACAGACGATGATATTGTGGTGGACAATCGTGAAATTTCTTTCCTGCTAAGTGTTGCTCTACTTTTTGACATCGACACATACTTCGTGCATCAGTACATCATATCTGATAAAAATTTCATAGTTTTGCAGGAAATTTGCTCGGCTAAATATGGGCTACAACTGTTACTTCAGGTCTTATTGACACAAACCTCTTGAGGATTTTTAAAGTGACATGTAAAACACGTCGGTGCATCTAGAACATCTTTGTTTTATGAGTTAATATAAGCTTCTTTTCTTCTTAAGTCGTAGTTTCACACTAGGATGAAGCAGCTAATCAAGCAATCGACTCGAAGGTGGACTGTTTCCAAGATCCAAGGTACCGAAATGTTCTTGCGACGAAATAACTTGGCCCAAAGTTTCGAACGATCGAGGAATAATTTCGTCCGCTGACCACCCATGGAACGAGTCCCCCAACTGGTCACGCATGGAAGAATCACTTCCTTCAGGGCCCCGTTCGAGACTCTGTAGTGACCCGCAGCCAGGCGTTTGTTTCAGAGAACGCTTCTAGACTCGACTCTCCACCCTCCACGAGCAATTACGTCGCGGAAACTTTTCTTCGAAAGTTTTTCCACGCTTAACGAGCGTGATAAATTTCTGTTACGCGGCGCCCCCCGAGGAGCCAGTGGACGGCGAGGCCACGGGGAGTTTACAACGGCGATAAAAATCTCGTTGAAATTATGCATAGATCCGAGGCTTGGGTTTCGTTGCTACGCCCTTCTCGATTTGAAAGAGGGAACAGGCGGATAAATTGGTGGAGACTTGTCTGCTGCGTGACCATATCTTCCACCGTCGTAAAACGAGGCGCAAACGGACGCTGTTAATTTTAATCAGTGCCCAGTAACCAAGGAAGAACCTATCCCCCGTTCCGTCCATACATTAATTAACTGTGGACCATCACCTCGCAAAATCCTATAATTTTCCATCCAAAAAGACACCACCGACCACACCTAATTCGCAATGAAGTTGATCGAATAATTAATTGATGAAATTCAAAGCTAGATAGAGTCCAGGGGGGGGGCAGGTGCTCTAGAAAGTGCATTAACCGCGCTTGCTATTGACATATTAGCAAGCTTGAATTACATCGACGAGCATAATTAATGGAGATCTGATCGGGCCACAGTGGACAATAAGCTTTATAAGCTGTACAAAGGTTCCAACCGTATCGCAATGCCCGCTGATAATGGTGTAGGTATCAGCGGAGATTAGACTGTCACGATTATTTCAACGTAGAGATTACCCGCGGGCCTGATCTACGGATCCGCCAGATGAGAGAATGACGTCAATGGGCCCACCATCGAGGAATTCTACATTGTCCTCAAGCGTAACAAGGGAATCTCATTTTTCACTATCGATGCGATTATTCTTCTTTTTGTGTCCAGGATGAATTTCTCTTCTCACACCCCTCCATGAAGCATCCAGCCATCTTGCTAAAAACGATCCAGCCGAATCATTTCATTTGCCGTTCGAAAGCATTCCCCCATTGCTTCATCATAGTTACGTTTCCCCCAGGATTTTTCGCTCCATCCCATCCCATATACCGTGCGATACCCCCTTCTTCGGTAACGATCCTCTATGACAGCTTGACGAAGCTGTCGTTCCCTCGTACATCCACCACGCGTTTCGCGGCATTATTTGGCTCTCAAAATGAGCCTTTCGGATCCGGAACGTTTCAGTGCAACCCCCTGCTCATGTCAAGATGCGTGATCGAGAGGTCTGACCCCTCTATCGCGGGGGAGAAAAAGATGTTCACGGAAGATACACAGATCTCGCAGGTGTCCATGGAGCCATTAGTGTCACACGGATGACAGCAAGTTTTTGATGAACCACGGTGACAGCCCGTCAGGTGGATTGCTACAAATAACGAAGGACTTCGAGAACGTTTCGATTTCTTCTGGCGCGTCGATCCCCTTATAAATCACTTCTTACCCGTGGTCATAGAGCGAAGAGGAGCTTTAGATGGGAGAGTACTTCCCAGAAAACCGATCATGTATCGGTAGCCAGTGATAAAGGGATGGTTTTATCAAGATTCTCGATACGTATATGTATACTTACTTTATGAAATTTTCTAGCAGCAATCGGATTCCACCGATGCCCAACAAGAGGAAGCCCCAGTTGACGAACCCGGTGAAGTTGTCGAAGCCAGAGCTCCACGAGAACAGACTGTCCCGGGGACGATGACATCTGTAAGAAAAAAGAAGGGTCAAAATTTATCAGCTCGTATGGTTATTTAGCTGAAACAATGTAAATTTTAGAAAACTTGTACATTTTATTCAAATAAAACTGTATGAACGGACAAATGTCTATCAATTTTAAGTATATTCTTCGATAACGTCGTCGTTCACTCAACAGTGTTCTCAACATCTTAATGAAAGTCGGAATTTTTCGATTTTCGAGTGAGATTGATGTGATAAGAAAAGGCTCCAAGATTGGTCCGTGTTTTTTGGAAGATAAAAGAAATTAGGTTTCACCCATGAGAGCTACTAAATTTTTATTTTGGACCACTGTACAGCGGATCGATCACCCTCTCTCTGGTAGACGTTCCTCACGCGACATAAAGGAGGAGAAGGCGCCATAGAAACGTCACTAGAATAAGAATGGAACAATAAAGCCGCTTTCATATCGCACGGTTATATGCGTTTCCATTTCAATTTACGAAGAAACACGCGATTTATGCAACATATTGAAAACATTTGTCCGGGCTCTCTCCTTATTCTCCACCCATCCTCGATGCAACACAGCCTGGCCTAGCTCTTCCCCTTTTTCGCCGGTTTAGTGGAGCAATCCGGAGCATTCGACTCGAAATGACGATACCATCGACCGACAAGCGTATTAAGGATAGTGAACAGCAGAATGTTTTCGCTATTCGGGCGATTGACAGACCGCTCTGTATGTTTATCGACAAGCTATATGTATATATATATATACATACAATATTGTTAACATTGTCCACTTAATAGCCGTGGGAGGCCTACTACTTGTCTCTGCCAAAGGGAATTCCTGATGCTCCGAAGGACAAACTCCCTTTAATCCTCGGAAGAAACGCAGAACATTTTATTAAAGACTTAATCATTTTCGTGATAGATCGACGTATGTTTAACGGTTGGTCTTTACGCGTTTATATATATATATATATCCAGAGAGTCATTACTGTAGGAATAATATTAAAGTGGTGGTTGTATTTGGTACAAATAAAAGGTTTATTCTAAAATGTGTAATATAAAGAATTCGTTAGGACACGCTTGCAACAGTCTAGCTCTTAAGACACACCCGCTCTGACTAACTTCCCTCTTGTATATCCCCTTTCATACATGGTCACACTCGGTCATAGGTTCACACACGCATTCACACATTCTTGCCTCGTGTCGATTTTCGATCACGACGTTCGACGCAGTTCCTTTCATTCAATCTTATCTAGCACGCACTCTCGTTCGAAGAAACTGTCACACGGCCTAAACACTCTTCACTCGCACCGCACTCGCTCGATCTAAAACTAAACTCACGCATCTCACACCCTACATTACTGCACAAAATCTTATTACCGTAAAACGCGTAAAGACCAACCGTTAAACAAACGTCGATCTATCACGAAAATGATTAAGTCCTTAGTAAAATGTTCTGCGTTTCTTCCTAGGATTAAAGGGAGTTTGTCCTTCGGAGCATCAGGAATTCCCTTTGGCAGAGACAAGTAGTAGGCCTCCCACGGCTATTAAATGGACAATGTTAACAACACACGGTTCGCTAGGACACCATGAAATTTGAATGCTGTAGACGAGAGAGAATCCGCGGCGAGTGGTGGATACAAAACCCTCTCAGTCTTAGGTATCTCTCGCGCGGATAATACACCGGGACGAACCTGAGTAATCGGCTTCCACAGACTCACCCTCGCTCTCCCCCCGCCTCCACGGTATCATCCGTTCGTGACAGCGACAACGTCGACGAAGGCTGACAAGGACCATCGTGTAAACTTTTCAAAAGCGTTTTGTCCCGAAGCATAAAGCGTTCAAGGAGCGAACCCCCTTGTCCCAACCACCCCTGGATAAGACGTGCTCGCTTGAGTGTGAGAATTTAGGGAGACGAAACAAAGCGGACTCGGGTACTCTTGTAGCTAGAATACAAGATACATGTTCGCGTATCTTCGTGATTCCCTCTATTGCTTCGACGATCCAAGGACCGACATAAACGACGGAAACTTTCATCTGGAACAACGATCTGGTATCCGATTCTTACATTAGGACATCGATCGAGAAACCGAAACTTATACCAGAGCAGTCTAAGCCACTATCGTGGGAAGCCAGATCTTAAGTATTTACAGAGAAGATACCTAACAACTTCAAGGCAGAACGAGAAGGTACGATTCTTCGGTGGTCTCAAAGGAGTTGTACTGATTGAACAATCAGACCGGTGGATAAAAATTGCGGTTAGCTGGCCACACAATCCGTGTAACATTGTAAAGCTAGCGCGCTGGTAAAAGGATTAAGGTAAAGATTAAAGATGGCAGAGGAAGCCTTTTGTAAAATACCGCGTCGTTTGTCCCCCATAATTGCCTGACAGAAGTCCCTCCTTATGGCTCTCTGTCCTGCACCTATGCGCCGTTTAATGTGATCGTTTAACCTACCCCTCTGCTGTCTCGAGTAAATCCTAACTATTACTGCGAATTTATGGCAGATCGTGGTAATTAATAGAGTCGCGATAAAGCCGGGACGCCCACACAACCCCTTCATAGGTGGTGCTCGGTCGAAGGAGAGAGAGACCCGTGCAGGAAGAGCTATCTCACACTTCTGATACTGGGCTCTCGGTCTCCGCGTGGCAGGATGCAGACGTCTCGCCGAGGAATTCCATATGCATGAGGGCTGGTGTACACTGGGTGTCCGTGGTATATGCATCCCCAGACGTCGCCAGAAACAGGGGCAATAAACGCGTCAACGATCGTTCGAGTGGCTCTGGATCTGGATATGTCTTTGACGAACGATACGCCTGTAAATAGGCTACTCCAGTGGCCCAATCGATACTCTAGTGTTTGTTTAATCGCGCAGAAAGTATTTTATACGAACAATTGTAAAAACTTATGTGTAGAGTAGATTTAGATAGTCTTAGAGAATAACGTGATTGTAGTAGTGTTGTGGTTTTAAGTACCTACTGGGAAACGTTTTACTCTATTCTTGGACAACCTGGTATAGTGACCAGCGTTCCAACATACGTTCAGCCTGTATTCAATCAGTTCTCGGTACGCACATTCCTTGAATCCTCATTCCCCAAGCACTTCACGGTGACGTTTTGCCTATGTATATAACTCTAGAGCTGATTGTATCGACGTTGTTCGTATCGCAATTATAATTTACAACTGTACTATGCATAGAAGGGAATCGTTGAACCTGACCTGGGACAAAATAGATATAACGATTCGAAAAATATCACCCTAAAACTGAAAGCTGAAAAATTGTCATTACCTTTCTCTAACAAAGCATTCAAGCCTGGGACAAAATAGATATAACGATTCCAAAAAAATATCACCCTAAAACTGAAAGCTGAAAAATTGTCATTACCTTTCTCTAACAAAGCATTCAATCAATCGTAGGAAGTACATTAACACGTCGACTGCCACAGTGAAAAGGGCCGTTCATAGCCAGACATACGTTATTTCGTTGTTCAAGTCATAAGTTTAGTTAATACAGGCTGTTTAGTCTTATTTTACATTATACTGCGATATTAAGTTTACGAGCAAACCTTTTGTAACGGTATTTAAATAATCATTGCTTGTTGATCATGTGTCAACTGCGAGTTATCTCGTAGTTGGTAGTCAATGTGTTGAAAATAATACAAATTCGATATCTTCTGCAATGAATATAACCATATAAAAAAGAAAAAATCATATCCCCAAGTTTACAGCTCACCATTTACGTCAAATTAGAGTAGCAAACTAATTTTGCCTTTAATGAACTTACTAGTGAACTAATGAAAGCACATTTCCGTTTTTATCCTAACCTCTGATGCCTCCTGAAATAGTTTCGAAACCGCCGATACAGTCAATTTTAGAGAATTTACGCTTCGAATTACTGGACAATCTCGTCGTTTCAAACTTTCACCTTGGTCCAACGAATTCCACGGTAATTTAAGTAATCCTGAATCCCTTGGGATATATCCTACAGTGAATATTTTGGAAAACATCGCGAAATATTTTATCCCAATATCAGTTCTGGCAAGCAGACGATTTCACCGGGATCGGTGGCGATCCAAGCTCAGCAACAAGACGCGAGTAAACTGCCTCTCGAAGTTTAGACACTCCGCATACCGGGTTTGGACAGACCCGTCGGTTTCAAGTCGACGGTTACGTGCTGGTTGTCAGGGCCGTCTTCACGGGTTACAACGCGACGGAATAAGTACGTCCCAAGACAGAAAAGTTCGCGTGACACGTGAGTCGACCGATTCGAGGCATCGTAAGCTCCTAGATTATTGATGTCGTCGAGCTAGTCGGCCAAGTTTTTTCTTTATATGACACGGGAAAAAAATTCCGCGCAGGGTGTAATATCGCTTTCGAGGAAATCATTCGAGCCTTGATGTTGCTGAAATTAGCCCCACTATGATTGTGAAGAGGGGGTATACGTGTACATTTCATGGCATAACTATAAAACCACCCTAAAAATTTCAATCCGTATGTATTGTGATTAAAATAAAAAAGGAACAATTATTTTCCAGGGAGTATAATCTATCCTGCTCTGGAGAAACAGTATTCGTCAACAGGATTTCAGACGTGGAATACTTGGTTCGTTTTCATTTTAATCAGAATACAGAAGAACTGAAGATTGACAAATTTCAGTACACATTATCGAATTTCTTCATTTTCAATAGGTGAGCGTGCACGTGAAAATCCGAAAACATTTTTCCCAATTAATACATTGATCTCGTGCAGCCGAGTGTCGTCTCTTAGCCGATCGCGGGATCCAGGAAAAATTGGCGAACGGAATATAGGGATCGTTAAAATTCATTCCGGTCTGATTCGAAACGCATCGTTTCCCCGGGAAAATTGCAAACACGAGCGTCCGCGATACGCTACTTATTTTAATGCTCCGGATATTCGAGTCCACCCTCGTATGAAACATGTAAATAAAAGAGAGCGTGAAAGCCGTGCCGTTAACGTTGTCGACGTTATTGTGCCCGCTAATTTGAAAATGTGGCCGGTGGCG